TGACCTCTGACGAGAGTTAATTCAACAAGGACAAAGAGGAAAGTTGCTTTTGTGGCTCGTATCAGGTGTTCATTGAGTTGAACGTGTGAAAAATAGCCACTGTACTGAAATTATGTTAATAATTTATAATTATTCAGTTATCGATACGGCTGCCTTTATTGGGAAAAAAAATTAGCTGTTGGGATCTGATTAATTAATATTTTTTATTTAAAAAAAATTTTATTTTATTTTTTTTAACTGTTAGGATTTGATTAATTAACATTTATTATTATTATTTTAGATTTAAAGCAGAAAATAATTTTTCACGAAAGATACACCTTAAAATAAACCTTTTTTCTTTATTTACAGTTTAATAACAGAGAAATGTGCTGGTGTTTTTAACCGTTGTCACACTGTTAACTTAACATTTAATAATCCCATTGTTTTATTTTCTGCAGACACACTGTTAAAAATAATCCAAAATGGAGTTTCATGTCCTTCAAATGTCCCCGAGCATTAGTTTAAATGTGACTAAATACTCAACGTCCACCGAGTCGCCTTTGAATCTTTTCACACGTTCACGTAGTTCCTTCGATTTTAAAGATGACAATCTAGATCTAGATGAAGACCATGTGATTTGGTTGAAAGCCACGATGGCACAAGCTCATTGGTTCAGGTTGTTTCGTCAACCGATTCAACGTTCTTTCTGCTTTTATTGTTTGTACACTGTATGTAAGATTCATTTAGATTTTCTTCAAGACCTCCCATCATGGTTTCACTTCCCCATTTCTCCTTCAGGCCGTTCTCTTTGTCCTGCTGCAGCTTTAACGTCTCTGATGCTTTGGGAAACGTTGTCCAGCATCGTTTTAATGATGATCATCTCTCATAAGCTTCAACTTACTCGTGTTGTGAGCTTCCTTCTCTCTGAAGCGTCAGCGGCCTCGTGACTGTTTAAAGTGTTTCTAGTTTCCTCTTTTATTCCTGTGATTCAAATCAGCTTCTCTCTCCACTCACTGTGTTCCTTG